GTCAGGCTGCTTTGGAATAAAATCCAGGAGGTAGAGTGTCTGTTCCCAGGGTTGAACTGAAGAGTGACATCTCTTCAGAGGCGGGCAAGTGGTCAGGAGTGAGCATGAAACATGTAAGATTGCAGAATTCAAAAGGATAAACATTATTTGATACCTTATTTATAGGGCACCACAGGGGAAAGGTAAAGGTTTCAGAAAAGAAAGAAGCACTTTAATTTTATCTGGAGATTTTCCAACAATAAAATCTAATCCATCATTCTCCGTGTGTGACTGCTCTTAATGAAAATTTAGAGGCTGTGAGTGAAATTTAGAATTCCCAGGGGATACTATTAGGAAGATGTCTAGCAGCTATGCAAAACCTGTTAGATCAGAGCCCTGCCAAGGGCCGGGAAGAGTGGAGTGTGAAAGGACAGCTTTGAATTCCGTGGGCCGAGGCTCTGCAGGGCCCAGCCTTCCTCTCCTGGGTGGCAGTGGCACTCCTGGGATGGTTCCACCGGGATCAGCTCACTGGGTGATTTCATAGAGACAGAACTCGGCCCATTTACATTTATTTTTTTACCCCAAAGATCCTCTGTGGTGACCAGAGTGGTTGATCTGCTCTCCCCTCCTCTCCAGTTTCATTGCCCAAATTTAGTGATCACTGTCAAGAGCTTTCCAAAAAAGAGAGAGTGAAGCTGTTTAATCAGAGAATCAAGGAATGGTTTGGGTTGGAAAGGACTTTAAAGATCATCCCATTCCATGGCCAGGGGGCACCTTCCACCAGACCAGGTTCAAACTTTGGACACCTCAGCCCATCTTGGAGCTGCAGAGAGCCACAAAGGGCCTCTCAGGCTGACCCCAAGGTAAGGTTGACCATCTCCAATCATTCCCAATCCTCTGCACTTTATTTTTAATCAAAGCAGATCACCAGACTGTTTCCAGTACTTTTTTAATGGTCAAAAAAAAAGGGGCTTCGATTATGAAGACAATAATGCTAAATTATTGAAGGGCCTGGATGTACATCATGAATCAGTTTAATACCAAAGTCACTGCCAATTATTCAACTGATTCAAAAGGAGACTGCATCACAAAATGGTAAATCACAGGATAAATCTGTCCTGGGAAGGGCTTTAGTAATCAAAATTCTCTCAAAGCAGAAAAGGCTTTTCTAAAAGCAGGGGGGGGAAGAAAAGGTTACAGCTTAAGCCAGACATTATATAGTAATGCCAGATGTTAAACAGTTGACTTAAATTATTGGCAACTATCAAATGCAAGATCCTAATACTACTGGTTGCAGAGCTATGCCACCAAGTTTGTAATCTGTGGAATGGGCTTAAATATTCCTTTAATTTTCTGCCTATGGATAGGAGGCAATTTGG